ATGGAGCAAAGGGAGTGCCTCGCAATGCAATGAACTTACTCTGTCTTTTGTTAAGGGCTAAATGTGCATTTTCTTTGGTGCCAGCAAGCTCCCTTCCCAGTCTGCATGGTGGTACTCTATGTATCCTCCCATTTCTAGTGCCCTGAGGAGAATGGAGACTGTTTGGGGACCAATCTTGCAAATAGATACATTGACTTTACAAGTTGTTGAATGAACAGCATATGTGTAACGAGTCTCACCCTGTGCATACTCTGGTGCCAAATACTGGGCTTTGGGGTCCAGGGCAGATATAAAACTGGATAAGGTAAGGGCCTTCTCTTTAGGGCTTTTGTAACCTACTACTGCCAAAAAGTAAACAATGACTTTGGAACCAGCAAATGGCTTAATGGTTATATCACTGGACCCTCCTATGTAGTCAACCATGGTTCAAGTCCTGGACCTGGTGGCTTAAACTCACGCCAGGCACATGTGCGTGTGTGCCCAAATTCCTGGAGGAGAATGGAGGAGAAGGGATTGTGGCATGGCCATCCCCTCCTCTCTGGGATGAGGGGAGTGATTTCTCACTTTCTGCCTTTCTACCGGCTGAGCACTCACTCACTATAGCAAAAACCTTTCTTAAAAAAAAAAGAGTAAATAGTGACTTTGATAAAAACAGTTGACTATTTGATTAAACTGGTGTTCTTAGTGATATAGGCCATCGTCAAGGATTAAAAATCAATTGATTTAAAACTTGAAGTATTGGGACTAGCAGTTAGCGTAATGGCTAGGTTGCTGGACTCCCACGTAGTTGACCGTGGTTCGAGTCCCGGACCCGGTGGCTTAAACTCACATCGGGCGCGTGTGCGTGCGTTACGTGCCCAAGATCCTGCGAGGAGAATGGAGGAGAAGGGATTGCGGCGTGGCCATCCCCCTGGGGGGTGATTTCCTGCTTTCTATCTCTCTGTCTCTCTCTGTCTGTCTGGTGAGTGCACGCGCCCTATAGCAAAAACCTCTCAAAAAAAAAAAAAACAGTAAGTATTGAAGATTTTCTCCTTCATTTGTTTTAATAAGGGCCTTCAGCGATTGAGTATCGTGGGAAGGGTCCAAGATTAGTTTTATACAGAGTTCTGCTGTAAACAGTAATGTTTTGTGTGATTAGCACAATGAATTAGCTGAGTTGTTAAAGCAAGTCTTACCTCTCTGTGCATTTGTAGCAGACACACTTGAAAACTCACTTAAATCTAGGTGCTTCAATTCACTCTCTTCCTTAAAAGGAGAAATTAAAAACTGGGGGGGGGGGACAGCTGTGTGAAAAAAATTTACAAAATAGGAGCCATCCAATAAAGATAAAAGTTCTTAAAATGAGTATGATATTATGGTCAGTGATCTTGGTGTTGGTGAAGTGGTGGAGGGAGTTTAGCTTTTGAAGGTAATTTGGTTAAGATTAGAATTCCAGTTGTGTGATATTGACAAATTAGTAATAACCCTGAGCCTCAGATTCCTCAACCATAAGAAGAATTTACAAAATAGGAGCCATCCAATAAAGATAAAAGTTCTTAAAATGAGTATGATATTATGGTCAGTGATCTTGGTGTTGGTGAAGTGGTGGAGGGAGTTTAGCTTTTGAAGGTAATTTGGTTAAGATTAGAATTCCAGTTGTGTGATATTGACAAATTAGTAATAACCCTGAGCCTCAGATTCCTCAACCATAAGAAGAGGGAGGAAAATACTAAATTATAAGTACCTCAGGAAGTCAGTGAAGTTTGCCTCACACATAATGGCACCCAGTCGAGATATATGTACATACATACATATTCCTCTCTTCTTTTCTTACAGTGATTCCAGGATGCCCTCATGCCATTATATGTCCGAAATTAAACCTTAACCTATGTTACAAAGAATAAATCTACAATTAAAAGGAAGGTGCCTCATATTATGTATTTCAAATGATTCCCTCAAGCTAAACTGTATTTTAAGAATCATTGTTACCAGGACCAGCAGGTGGCATAGTGGTTAAGTTGTGGGACTCCCAAGTTCAAGTCTTGCGGCAGCGCCTTGAAGTTCACATTGGGCTTGTGTGTGTGCCTGCCAAAAACCCCAAGAGGAGAATGGAAAAGAGATTGCGGCATGGCTATCCACCCTGGGTGTGTGTGTAGCGGGGGGCTAGGGGGGCGGGTAGTTTCTCACTTTCCCTTTAGCCAGCAAGCACAACAAGTGTTCCATACCAACTCTAAGGAAAACAAAGAGAATCATCATTACTATTTAGATTAAGCTTGAATTTGCAAACTGGGAAGAAACACCTATGCTTTCTTTAAAGAAAGCTTTTTTTTTTTTTTTGGTAAAGCTATATAGTCAAATTTGGTATCATTTTAGTTGTGCTTTGAAGGTCTCTTAAAACTAACTAACCATGGGACCAGCAGTTGGTGTAATGGGTATGTTGCTGGACTCCCATGTAGTCAACTGCGGTTCAAGTCCTGGACCCGGTGGCTTCAACTCGCGCCAGGTGTGTGTGTGTGCATGCCCAAGATCCCCAGAGGAGAATGGAGGAGAAAGGGATTGCAGCATGGGGGTGATTTCTCTCTTTCTTTCTCTCTGTCTCTCTCTGTCTTTCAGGTAAGCACATGTGGCCCATAGCAAAAACCTCTGAAAATAAAAAAAAAAACTAACCATATTATTTATTGACTATTTAGTATGAGGAAGCACAATTGCATCTTTACTCACATGTAAGTTTTTAGTATGGGGCAACATTCCTTTAGACTGATTTCATCAAAAAGTAAAAAATGTGGCAAAGACTCATTTCATGTTCTTTCTCATATTCTAAATTGAGACCATTCAAATTAAAATACCTCAATTTAAAAATACCGATTTCAAAATGTGTTTCCTATGATTATCACACCTTCTTTTTTAAGTTTTATTTTATTATTATTATTATTTTGCCATAGGACATATGTGCTTGCTGGAGAGACAGAGAGAGGGAAAGTGAGAAATCGCATCCCAAGGGGACTGGCCATGCCACAGTTTCTTCTCCATTCTCCTTTTGGGGTTTTAGGCACACATGGGCACATACTCCTAGCATGAGTTTTAAGCTGTTAGGTCCAGGACTTAAACTGTGCTTAGCTATTTGGGAGTCCAGTGCCTTATCCACCACGCCACCTGCTAGTCCCATCATGCCCTCTTTTTTTTTTTTTTTTTTTTTTGGGGAGGTTTTTTCTTTTGGCCAGAGGTTTTTGCTATAGGCCAGAAAGAAGATATAGACAGAAAGACAGAAAGCAAGAAATCACCCCCAGGGGGGATGGCCATGCCACAATCCCTTCTCCTCCATTCTCCTCTGGGGATCTTGGGCATGCACTCACACACACCTGGCATGAGTTTAAGCCACCTCGTCTGGGACTCGAACCGTGGTTTACTACATGGGACTCCAGTGACATAGCCATTACGCCAACTGCTGGTCCCCATCACGACCTCTTTTAAGGCATGGACTTTTCTCTCCAATTTATTACAAATTTAGTTGAATATTTTTAGCATGTGATGACTCTAATGACATGAGTACACCTAGAATGATATTCCCATCGGAAAATAGCCTGACTTGCTTTCAGCATTCACAGGTTCTTCCCAGTCTCCAAGCCTTCTCTGGCAGTAATGTAGAGGAAATGACTAGCTTCATGAAAATAACTTGAAGTCTGGAGTCTGAACCTGGCTACGTGGCTCTGCCACTTTCTGCCCCTGTGCCCTTGATTAAGCAAATTACTTGAACTCTGTGAGTTTTAGCTCCCTCCTTTATAATGCATGAATACCCCTACAAAATAAAGATTAAATGTGTTGATGTTTGCCAAGGTGATTT